CGATCGTCGATCACCGAGTCGTTTGGGGGATCGAGTCGTTGTCCTCAGCGGGGGTAGTAGTGGTTCTCGTGTATGGCTGAGTGTGGCTCACTTCACTTACCGAAGTATAACTCGAGTAACCACCTTTCGCTGCTGTGGAAACAAAATCTAAGAACGCGGTCTCGCGACACGATCTTCTAGAACGACCGGTATTCGAACGAACGAACTCGCGGAAACGAACGGCAAACGCAACCGGGATTGTTCCGATCGAACGAGAGGAAGAACTAGGAGTTACTTGACTTATTCTCGTGGTTTGCTAGGCCTTCCGTTCGCCTCCAATTGACTGACTCTAAGAAAAGACGGGAACGGTCTTCTCGGTGTGTCTGGACACCGATCCGTGGTGGGAGCTTCGACAAGAAATCAAAATAGATTACCGACCGGCTGCAGGTACGGTTAAACGTCGGGTTTCCGGTTGGAAGAAAACCAATTCGAACGCGTTACACGAACGAGAGAAGCGATAACAAATTGTGACAGCTGAGGCTTTACAACATCTCGGCTCCGTTCAGCTGCGTTCCAAAGATCTTCGAAGCTTCTCGACTCGAACGAGGAAGTTCGGGATCTTTCATTGAATCGGTCTGATTCGATGAGAAAAGAAAATGTTGATAAAACGTTGTTTGATCGTTCCAGTGTTTCCTTCGGGAAGTGGGAATGCACTTGATTGATCGAGCATCTGAACAACGTTTACAAAACGTAGAGCCGAAAACGAGTGAGCGAGGTTATTAGTCAGCGATGAATCGAGATGAAGAGAACGGCGGATCCGGCCAAATTGCACATTCGTTACTGCAACATGATTCGCATTGCGCAGTGGCCAGGATGACAAACGTGCTTGTACCGATGTTCAACTTCTATCTTGCACGATTCCTATTTCCGTTCTATCTAAATAAAGCCGAAAGCGGCCCAGTTCCCGCGCGATGCGCGAGACAACGCCTCGCAATTGCGCGATACTTAATATCATCATGTATTTTAAGAGCAGTTAGATTTGTTTACGATTGAAGCGGATTCAGACCGTTCGCGGAGAATAACAAGGTGATTCCAAAGAAGAAATAAAGATCTCCGCTGGAATAAATTGTTTGACAATCTCGCACAGGCGCAGGAAAATCGTACTACGGAATAAATTGTACTACATTTTATTCGATTTGAGAATTTATTTGCGCCATTCATTCCGTCAATGTCGACGATAAATCGTCGGTAAGCTCGTCGTAAGCGATGGTACGCGTACGAGTAGTAAACCGGCCTGAGCTTGGCACGAATCGCGATTTATGCGTACCTTGACAGCTGACTGCGCGCATTTGGGTCACCCACGATGAGATTTCAAGTTTTCTCAATGCGAGAGCAATTGCTGCCGACGCGATAAAAACCTCGGAAACCTTCGCGAAACAGTCGTGCGGTCTTTCGTTTTCTCGTTGAATTAACCGTAAATGGAAAAACCGTGAGAGAACGAAACCAGTCTTGCTGTTGGTTTCGTAAAAATTAATATAAAAAAAAAAGTAGAGATCATCGTTTATCTCCGCGGACACTGCAGTATTTCCCGCGTTAGAATTCGAAGCGTGCATCGACATTCGTTTCGATGTATCGATGGCAACGATCGAAGTTAGCGAGCCTCTACCGTCGATAAAGGAGATTTCAGTAGATAAAGACGTTCCGGTACGTCCGATCTCTGTTTTATCGACGCCACACGGTAAACTCGTCTGACCAGACACAGCCGGTACTACTTTACGTTGATTTTCGTTCGAGCGCGAAATTGCAAATCTCTTCATTTTTCTTATTTTTCTTCGACTCGCAGAGGGTACAATCATCGACATTCGCAAAACTTACCTCGTCGCAAGCTGCGCACCTCGGCTTCAGCTGTTCGGCATAGTGCCTCTCGCAGAACAGAGTGTTGTCGTGGACGCAGTAAGCGAGATCAACCAGAAGTTCCTTGCATTTCGTACATCGGAAACAAGCAGGATGATAGAAGAGGTCCAATTTGCTCGCTGACACGACGAGGCTGCCGTATGGTAACAGTACGTCACACGCGCCGCAATTCTACGAGAACAAACGAGAATTTCATGTTTTTTCGTCAGAAAAAAGCTACGTGGACAAGGCAACGATATCCGCGCTGAAACTCACGACATCTGTCTCGAGTATTTCCTGCACGCTCCCGATGTCCAACGCGATCTCGTTCCTCGCCGTCATAAAGTCGTCGGCGCTGTTGACGTGTTTCGGATTCAAATGGCGACAATAAGCTGTGGCTAAGTCCTGCTTAGGCAATTGAATCGCCAATTGTCGGTCCCTGTATCGTTCCCCAGGCGTGCCTAACCTGGGCACGGATATTTCTGGCAGCATCGAGAAATATTCTTCCACCTGTAACGAGGAAAAATGCAGCTCAGCGACGTAACTTCGTCGTACGAGGCAATCGTCGGATCAAAAATTCACGCGTCTGTTCAACGTAAGACAAGAAAAATTTAGTGGCTAGCGTGAAACGCGAGAGATAAAGAATCCGCCAGAAAATATTGAAAACCAGCTGCCACTCGGCTGTTGCGCGAACGCGTAATACGACGTTCTTGATCGAATTAAAATGGGATTTCCTATCAGAAATTTCCCCACTTTCCTTATATTTGATTTTCAACTGTTGCGTTCGCGTTGCAGATGAATTATCAGTTATCGTTCCACCTAATCTTTGCAAGTCTTGTAACGACAACGCGCGAGTACCTGTAGAAAATCCCAATCTTTATCGTGCTCGATCGCTAGAAGAAAGTTGGATCGTATCAACGATCCTCGCGCAATCGACGAGATAACTGCCGATAATTGTTGAATTTCACGCTTGTCACGATTGTTGTTGTTGAATCGCCCTTGGGCGATTTCCGACGGTTAAACGGGAACGAAGCAGGAAACGATTACTGGACGACGTCGATTTACTCACCTTGTGAGCTGGTAGGCCAGGAGGTGCCCAGGCAAGGCCCTTTGCCCTCGGGTCGAAAACGATCGGATGCGAGGATTCCTCGCCTTTCAGGCCCAAACGAGACCTGACCGACGCCCATTCCTCGTGGCACACATCGTGCGCCTCTCGCGGGCACTTGCAACTGGTGCAGTTCTTTCTGAAAAGGAGAAAGAATGTCTCAGCGACTCGTTACTTTGGAAAGTCATGCATCATTCATGATGCACACTCGGGAATTTCTGCTCGGTAGTATCGAGCGACAAGATTAATGCCCGTCTCCCGTTTAGGAAACACTGCCTTAGTTTCCCTGTGGCTGTATGTGGCACGGACGCGCACCGATGTAAACCCTCGTTGATATCGGGCCGACGTATCTATTAAACCGAGAGGATGCTAAATATTTGTTCCCGATCTTTCATTAACTCGCCTAACGTTCGTATACGCCTCGACGTTCATGATAGAGCCTCTAATCGAGTTTTATTGCAACGTTCGAGCGCCGTGCGCTTCCTGCCGA